TCATGAGTGGTGCTCACAGAGCCTCTCTCTGCAGAAGGGCCACCGCTGACCAACACCACCTTTCCCCACGTCATGCCCCTGGTGACTCTTCTGGAGCGGGACGACGCGCTGATGGACAGCCCTGAGCCCTGGGAGGCCACGGACAATGGCGTGGAGGTGGTCATGGCCCACCTGGAAGCTGCACGGATGGTGGCCCACCACGGCGGTCTGTACCACACCAATGCCGAGGTGAAGCTGCAGGGTAAGCAAGATGGGGATGGGGTTGGCCCTTTTCCCTTCACTGGTGGCAGTGCTGGATGGAACGTCCCGCAGGTGCTGGTCCTCATCCCGTCTCCATGGGACTGACTTTCCCTCCCTGCAGGTTTCCAGGGCAGAGCAGAACTGCTGGAGATCTTCAGCACCGAGTTCCAGCTGCGGCTGCTCTGGGGCAGCCGTGGGGCTGAGAGCAGCCAGGCCGAACGCTACGAGAAGTTCGACAAGGTCCTTACTGCCCTGTCCCACAAGCTGGAGCCGGCAGTGCGCTTCAGCGAGCTGTAACCCCCCCCAGCAATGGAAAGCCTCTCCATGAGGGACACAGTGGCAATGTGGGGACAAGGAGGAGGAACAGCAGCCACTTCCCATCCGCCACTCACCTCCCTGGCACTGCCACTCCAAGGGATGGGGACAGCGTCCATCACCCAGCCCTGCCGCAGTCCATGGCTGCATGGTGCCCTTCTCCTCCTCCTTCAGGTTCCTTCCCTTCCCATCTCCCTCTCGCCCATGGCTGCTGGGTCCCACTTGTAAATATGTTTCCACGGTCATTTCTGGATGTACAGATTCGCGGACAGTTCCTGGTGTAAATACTTAGGCTCATGCATTTTGTCCTGTAAATACGTGTACATAGCTCACGGCCTTGGTTCTTACATACAATAAACTTTTACGCTCTCTCTCTGGAGGCACTCCTCCACACCGGCACGCCGTGGTTGCTCATTGCTGGAGGGGGATTGAGGGACGCCCTCACTTTGCTGTAGGCAGGGCTGAGGCTACAGGCCAGGCACAGCGGTGACATCGGGCCGTGTGTGGGCGGGGCTATGCAGACCAGACCACGCCCCTTAGCGCGAGACCACGCTCACTCCCACGTTGCCACGCCCACCTCCCCCGCGCCGCGCAGGGCACGCCGGGAGCTGTAGTGCGGGCGGTGCCGGAGCCGCGGCCGCCATGTGTCGCTCCGCGGCGGTGCTGGCGCTGAGCTTGGCGCTGCTCTCGGCCGCCGCCGCCGCCTGGGACCTGTGGGCACTGAGGGCACTGCGCTGCAGCTTCACGGAGGACTGCGAGTGCGGCTTCGAACCCGACCTGCGCGGTTAGGTTCCCATTCTAGGTCGGGGGTGGCACGGCGGCGTTGGGGCGACCGCAGGACGGGAGCTGTCGGACCTTCGTTTCGTAAAGGATTTGCTTTTGCCGCAGGTCTGGAGTGCGAGCTGGCCGTGACCCTGGTGGGGCAGCCCCTGGTGAGGCAGCAGCTGATGAAGGGACTGAGGCGGTTCCTGGAGAAGCGCAGCCCGGAGAAGCCCCTCGTTATGTCCTTCCACGGCTCCACCGGGACGGGAAAAACCTTCGTGAGCTCCATGCTGGTCCGGCACCTCTTCCCCGAGGGGCTGCAGAGCCGCCACGTCCACCAGTTCTCCCCCATCGTGCACTTCCCCCACGCGGAGCACGTGGAGCGGTACAAGGTGAGCGCTGCCCCGCGCTGCGGGTTGCGGCCGTCCCGGCGCTCGGCGCACGCTCAGGCTGCTCCTGAAGACGGCAGGGCTGCGGCTCTGTGCTTCGCCCTCTGCCAGAGATTGGAGCAAAGGCTCCACGCAGTGGCTGAAGGCACCTCTGCGATATGCGCTTCTGTTTTCCCAACAGCCGTTCTCGCTGTCATTTTCTCCCTCTTTAAATATTTACATGGCCCTTTGAATACGCAGCCAGAGTGTTTCACTTAGTGCCTTTCACCTGAAATTGTCTCTGTGCTTTCCAAATCAATAGCTGGGAAAACCTCTGTATGGCTGTGATAATTCCCTTTTCACCCAACAAGGAGCTCCCAAACACAGCTTAACCTGTGGCTCCTGCAGCTGACAGAGGCAAGAAATCCAAAGGTGGAGGTTTTCTAAATGAAACCTCAGCAGTGGGGAAACCAGCACACCTGGATATTTTCCTTCTGGGTGTTTGGAGGAGTTGTGTGTTCTTTTGCATCCTTAGAAGAAATGTGCTCTGTAGGGTAAAGCCTCGTGCTGGGTAAAACGATGCAATTAGGAGTTACACTCGTATCCAGGGGACCTAAGTGTTCGTGTGTGGGTTGGCACTGATGTAACTTCAGCTGTAGTAAGGAAGGGGAGAGCTGTTCTCATTTGGTGCAGGCACACAATTCTGCACCAGAAAAGGAGGCGACAACAAGCACGTCTCCCTCCCAGTAACTGGGAACTGTAATGCAATGAAAGAGAAGAATGTAGAGAGCTGTAGGAGGCTGAATACCCAGCTTTAGTTTGCTGCCTCCTTCTCACTGCTTTAAATCTGCAATAGAAGACCTGTAATGAGCTAATAAATGGCACAGATAAGTCACCGTGCCAGGCCCGGGACAAAGCAGCCTGCCTCAGGGCTGGCTGTTCCTGCTCTGAGTAGGTGGTGCTGCACAGCTGCTTCTGTGCTTCACCTCAGCCCTTGCACTGCAGTAGCTCAGTCCTCCCTCACTGCTTTATGGTCTGGTGGGTATTTTTCCTAGGAGAACCTGAAGCACTGGATCCAAGGGAACTTGACGAAGTGCGGACGGTCGGTCTTTCTCTTTGAGGAGATGGACAAGATGCACCCGGGCCTGATTGATGTGATCATGCCTTTCCTGGGACCCTCGTGGGTTGTGTATGGGACCAACTACCGCAAAGCAATCTTCATCTTCATAAGGTGAGATGCCCCTGTGTGGCAGTGGGGCATCACGGGGCATTCCAGTGCACTGCTTCTCACATGGGCACAGCATGATGCCTGCTTCAGAACACCCTTTCATTTTGCTTTTCCTTTTCCAAGCGTTGAGCTTCTGCAGAAACCAGCAGATGTTATCTCCTCGTGAACAGTCAGAATTGGAGTGTCTGAAAAAGCTCTCCCCTTCCTGTTATTTGCTTGCCTTTGCAGGAGTCCTTTTAGGCCAGGCAGCAGGGCAAGCCTGGACTGAGCTGGCTGGAGGATGACAGATGCCACCTCTGTCCTGCAGTACCACTGTCCTGGGTAGTAAGTTGTCTTATTCTTGTTACTCCTGCAGCAACGCAGGAGGAGAGCAGATCAATGAAATGACACTGGATCTGTGGCGTGCCCACCGGGACCGGGAGGAGATCAGCCTGCAGGACATGGAGGCAGCCATCTCCAAAGCCGTGTTTGAGAACCCTCAGAGTGAGTAAACCTGCAGTGTTTCAGCAGGGAGCAGAGCCCAGCAGAGGGAGCCAGGCCTACTCCACACAGCCACAGATGCTCTCTGGGATCTCCTAAGCAGGCAGAAGGGGACAGAAATTTGAAGGGAAAGGAATGGTGAGCTCCTCGAGGTTTTCTGGCAGAGGGAAGGAATGGCCTGCTTCCCAAGCCAGCAAATCTGTTAGCATGCTTAGCAAAATTCTTTGGAGAAAATGTGTATTCAGATAAAGTATGGCAAACAGCACAGCACACTCACTGAAAAGGCACTGGGAATCAGTCCCTGCTGCCTGCTTTGTCCTTGTCACAGAGCAGAGCTTAAAATCTGAGCAGCTCAGTTAAACCTAACCATTCCTGGGGAAAGACAAATCTATCTGGGGAAGGAGGGGTTGACAGCTGTTGGTTTAAGTCCTTGTACAAAATGAGCAGAGCTGTCTTCAGCCGAGTACTCTGGCTTCAAACAAAGCAGTTCCTTGAATTCCAAGGACCACAGACACCGAAAGTAAAATCTTCTGTCTCCTCCTTTGCTTTTGTAGGTGGATTCTGGAAATCTGGGATTATTAACGAACATCTCATTGATTTTGTCGTGCCCTTCCTCCCCCTGAAGCACCACCACGTAAAGCAGTGCGTCATCAACGAACTTGTGCAGCAAGGGTTAGAAGTACGCCAGGGTGTTGTCCAGGAGGTGGCCGACAGCATCCCCTACTTCCCAGAAGAAGAGAAATTATTTTCATCAACAGGATGCAAAACTGTAGCCTCTCGGATCAGTTTTTTCTTCTAGCCTTGCTCAGATCCGTATGGGGCTGTAAAGCTGCACACTGGTGGGACGAGCACCAGGAGCTGCGTACTGCCATGCAGTAGCACAAATGCCCTCCTGCTGAATTTGTCTTTCCAGCCCCAAGGGCACTATTGCAGAATGCAACTGTGGGAGCAAGGGCAAGTGATTTGGTTTACAGCACTTTATCATTTATTCTGTGGCCAGGTGAAGGTGGTTATGCCCAGCTTGGTGCACCACTCAAGTCGTACCTGTGATGAAGAAGGGAAGATGTCAGGAGAGACTGCAGTGTCAGGGAGGCTTCTTACCCTGTCAGCAACACCAATCTGTAGCTCTCTCCTCTTCTGGCAGCTTCTGTTATCCAATGCATGAAGATTCTGAGCCCAAAAAGGAATTTTTTTTTTTTACATACATTATTTTAGCATTTTTAAAAGCCATCTTTTAAGCATGGCAGTACCTCAGCTCCTTGGTACAATGTGACAATGCTGGTGCTGACTGCTGCGTTGCTGGCTGGTGAACACCCTCAGCATTACCCTTATCATTGAAAGGAAATTTTAGAGCCAACTTCTTCCCAGTTTCCTTTCACTGTGAATAGGTGCTGGTAGGGAGCACCAACAAAAATAGGGACACAACGAGGGAATATGGCAATGCTCAGCCTGCCAAGAACTCAGCTTCCCTACTTGTCCTTCTGCCCATCTTTCCCCCAAGGTCCAAAGGATTTCTCTGCAGCAAACCATGGAAATGAAAAAAACAGGACTTACCTACAAAAAAAAAAGTTCATTCCTACCTCCAGAGGAGACTGTGGTGACACTGATGGTTTTTAACAATACTTTATTCAGTGGTAATTTCTACAGCAGGCTGAGGAATTGGTGCTATGAGCTCTTGAGCTTCTTTGACGTCCTTCTGCTGGTCAGACCTTGCAGGCACTGGAAGAACCAGCTCTGCTCAGCTCCACAGGAGTGCCACTTACGTGGGGACCTGAGGACAAGATAGAGAAGTTTGTACTCCACGCTGTCAAGCATGGTGGGTGTATGGCACTGCTGGCCTTTGTCCACTTTAATCTCTGCAGTTGGTTACTGGAGCACAGGTCAGAGAATCATTCCTACTGTGAGAATGAGCTGCCTGAGGGGGTTGTGTGAATGGGGACATGGCTGAGGGTCCCTGATGTTCCTCTCGTGCTCTGTGCTGAAATGAGCTGCTAGCACTCAGGACCATTCCAGCCTTCCTCCAGCTTCCTGCAGCTTCGTGGGCAGCCATTGGAGGAACAGCCTAAATGCAGCCCAGGAGCTGGTCCATGTACAGACCATCCTGCCTGCAGAAATGGTAGCATTTCTAATTTTAAAATAAATCTTTTATGAAATAAATGGTTGAGGAACAGTCATTTGCTTGGATTCCTAACAGCAGCTATTGTGGACAGAGTTAGACTCGCATTTTCATGGGCACAGCTGCCTGGTGCAGTAGCACTTTGGGGATTTAGAGGCATAAAGATGATGCTCTATAATTAGGTAACAGGAAACAAGACTGTGGCCTTTCCCAGGGGTGGAGGTGAAACAGCAGTCGCTGGCCCTGACACCCTGCAGAGGAGCCAGTGTAGGTACAAGAAAGCCACAAGGTCTGTCCTGCCACAGCTGCAGGCAGCCCATTTTTCCCCTCTGCAGAGCACATCTCTGCATACAAGGCCTTGTTCCCAGGACTGTGCCAGTGCAGAAGGTGAAACCCACACATTCTCTCTTGCCATCAGCAGCCTGGGGACAGGCACCAGTGCCCAGGCAATGCTGCAGGTCTACAGCAAACACCCATCAGACCCTTCAGCTAAGAGGGCTGAGAAGGAATGAGGTTCTGCTTGGAACGTTTCCCCACATGTAGACATTCCAGCAACCTACTGATGCCTTTTAGGTGCAGACAGTGGCAAAAAGCCTTTGGCAACAAGAGTAATTCAGCAGTTAAGTAGCCAAAATGTGCTTCTGTGCTCCAGAGCAAACAAAGCCCTCATCGGAGTTTGAACAAACCCAGTTTAGAGCATGCAGCAGCAGCAGGCTAACACCCAAGACAAATTACCCCCCCACCACCAGCACACACCTACTGCTTCTGTCCATCAGGCATCATCAGATGGAAGTCTTGGAGGACTCTGAAGTGTTTTATCCGAGGTCTGTTGGCCAAGGCTCCTCAGGATAGCCTGGACAGTCCTTCTTGGAAAGAGGCGGCGTGCAAGGCAAAGGATCTGCAGTGGCAACAAGGCAAGACCTGAACATCCTCCTGACATATCAGCACTCACAGAAAAACTTGCCTGCAAAGAGCTCTGCACCACAGGTTTCCCCTGCTGCAGCCAAACACCTGACAGCCTCACCAGGACCTGCTCTGACAGGGAACCTGTTCGGTTTCATTTTGTAAAGAAATCCCAGATCTGTTGAACCGTGCTGCTATGACAGCGCAATGCTTGGAGGCAGCAGTGTGGGGATACTCTCCCCTTGCCCGCAGTCAGCTGCAGAAGGGCTTCTGCCCTGGATTAGATTTAAAGAAACAAGAAAGTGAGAATAAGCAGGAGAAGACGATCTGACCAATGACTCTTAACACCATGCTCTTGTAAAAGCCAACATATAACCATTGCTGCTTGGCTTGGACCTGTAGCCTAGCAGGTCCCCCAGCTCATGTTCCTTGATCCCTGCAGGTGGCCCTGATGCAGAACAGAAACCACTCAACCATCAGGCACAGTGCCTGCAGCTGAGCCAGGAATGCTGCCCGTTGCCTGAGGAGGGCACAGAGCAGCAGCAGCAGGGCTGTACCTTGCTATCCGTGGCGCTGAGCCACAGACTGAGTGCAACATCCTCCTTTGAGCTCTCCACCTTCCCTAGGCACCGCTTGGCCACGGCACGGCACAGGTAGTGCAGTGCTTCTTGGGGGTCGTGTTCAATGGCCATAGAAAAGCAAGCTTCTGCCTGCAGGAACCGCCTGCGAGGGGACAGCAGTGTGTGTCTGGCTCACCACAGGCCCTCAAGCAGCCTACACCGCCCTGCTCTCACCTGGCTGCCACATCCTGCCAGCCCTTCTCATGCAACACAGCCGCAACACGGCCCTGCACAGCACGGTTCCCTGGACTCAGCTCCAGCGCCTGCTGGTAATCCGCCATGGCGTAGGTCAGCTCCCCCAGGCGAAAGAAGCAGTCTGCAGAGAAGAAGAAGGGCTCAGCAGGGCTGAGAGGGGCTGGCTGCTGCCCCAGGGCTTTGTCTGGAGCCAGTGGGAAACACACACCTCGTGTGCAGCCCACCTCAGGTTTCAGCATCAAAGTCTGCGCTGCAACAAGCAGCACATGCAGCCTGATCCGGGGGAGAGCAGCAGTTGCCAGCTGTGCCCCAGAAGATACTACGTGGGGAAAGAGTAGTAGCACCAGTGGCAAATCCCCACTCCTCATCCCCTTCCTGCTGCTGAAACAGTGCACTGGGGTCAGGATCAAGGGAGAACCCAGCTGCCCCACCTCCTGCTTTTGCCACAGGTCCCCAACACAGGGCTGCAGAGTAAGGCCTCTCTCTGCAGACATTCACTGCCTCAGTGCCAGCCACTGCTGTGTGACACCCCAGCATTATCCACAAGCCACTGACATTACCCTGCTGTGACAACCAGCCCAGCCACTTGCCTCCTCTGTTGGTGTAGAGTCCCTGCTCTGTCCTTTCATTTTGCAATGCTTCACCAAGGAGCTTTACAGCCTCATCAAGTTGGCCCAGGGCATAGCAGTGCACAGCACAATCATTGTAGGTGAGCACCAGCTGCCGCTGAGCCTCCCGGGCCTCTGGGCTCCCCACTGTGCTCAGCTCCCTCGCCCTGACCAAGTCCTTGATGGCTGCACTGAAGTTCTTGAGCTGTCGGAGGAGAGTCCCCCTGTGACACAGGGACAGAGAAAGGAAACTCAGACAGCAGTACAGCTAATTACCTGCAGCAAAACAATCGCTACCTGAGGGTGAAGAATTCAGCAGCCAACGGGTCACTCTCAATAGCAAAGCTGATCTCATACAGGGCCCCACGCAGGTCTCCACACAGGGCCTTCAACACTGCCTGGGCTTTGGCCTCCTGGCCTTGTCTCAGCAGCCTCTGCCACAAAGCCTGGGCAGCTCTGTGCTGCGGTTCCAGCTTCAGGGCCCGTTGGATGTCCTGGTGGCACAGGGCCAGCTGCCCAGGGGGCCGGCTACCTTCAGGACCTGGTGCTTCCTACTGTGGCCCCATGTCCAGGAAGGGTAGCCAGGGTCCCTCAAAGGGACCAACATGGTCATACCTGCCCAAACCGCTTGTAGAAGAAGGCACGGAGCACATACATATCAGGGTTCCTCACATCCTCCTCCAGTTCTCTGTTAAGCATCCGGAGGAACTCTGGGAACTCGCCAAGGGCAGCAAGGCACACGATGCTGCAAGAGAGGGACAAGGCTATGGGGAGCCTGCAGTAAGGCAGGGCCAGCCTGCTGAACAACCTGCAGCCCTGGCTTCACCTCCTCTGGTAGAACACCCTGCAGTGAGGCTGCAGCTCAGCTGCCTGTATGAAGGCCTTCAGGGCCTCACTGTAGAGCTCCTGGTCCAGCAGACTCTGGCCCTGCAGGGATAGCCAGTCAGCATGGTCACAAGTTGGGGCTGCAGATGGGGAGAAGTAAGTGGTTGCTCACCTGCAGGTCAAGGACAAGAGCCAGACGAGCCAGGCAGTGCTGTTCTTGTGCAGGTGCCAATGCAAGCACCTTCATTAAGTTCAACTTGGCTGACTGGAAGTCACAAAGCTGGAGGAAAGCCTCTGCCCGCTGCTCATACAGCTCTGCCTGCACCATGGACACCCTCAGGGGCCCAGCTACACTCCAAGAGCCCAGAATCATGCTGGCACCATGCTAACACCATAGCAAAGAGCACCCTGAAGCGAGGTGCCAGTGCTACAGGCTTAGCAATGCTACCTCCTGCTCCCAGCTCTCCAGGGTCCCATTACCCGCTGTGGATCCAGGTTGATGGCTTTTGTGTAGCAGATGATGGCTTCTTCCCACTGGCCACAAGAGGAGAAGCCCCGTCCTTTCTGCCAGCTGCAGAGAAGAACAGAGCCATAAGCTGGGCTCACACTGCCCAACAGGGAGACTGTCACAGAGCCTGGACACACATGTGGCTGGAGGGCAGCAAGGAAAGGTGGTGGATGTGAGGACTGCCCTAAAGGCCGCTAAGGACATTCTGAGCAGGGAAGGCAGCAGTGTGAACACAGAGCAGCACCCAGGCACTTACTGCTCCTGCATCCTGCCCTGCACAATGGCGGGAAGGGATCCCACGCCTCTGGGGCGCTCCACGCTGCGCAGGCACTGGCTGGGCCCGAACAGCCTCCGCAGCGCCCGGTCCCAGCCGCCCTCCAGCTGCTCCTCGGGCACGGCTGTGGCAAACAGCTCCGGGGCCTCCATCTCCGCTCCTACCTGCGGGCTCAGCCCAGCGACCCCGGCTGCATCCCCAACCCCTGCCCTTCCTAAAGGGCCCCACCACAGCCACAGGGCACCCGAGCAACGGCCAGAACGGCGCGGAGAGAAGAAGCACAGACTGTCCGCCGGCCCGGCCCCGCAACGCCTCACGGCCCCGCCCCGCCGCCTGCAACCAAGATGGCGACGTTGCCCGGAAGCAAGATGGCGGAGACGCCCTCAACCAAGACGGTGGAGACGCCCACAACCAAGATGGCGGCGGGGCCCTCGAGGGTCTTGCTGGCTGAGGTCCTTGCAGATACAGACCGGGCGTCGTCCCGTGTCGGGGTCACTTAGAGGCTAACGGGCGGATTTGTCCTTCTCCTCAGCGGGACGCTATGGGGTCTGGCCTGTGTTTGCGCCCTGCAGCGTGCTTGACCCCCCATAGGACAGTGCCGCCCCACCTCAGGGCTCGCAGTCCCCAGCTCCCACTGAGCCCTGTCCCACACGAAGCCCCGCTCCAGTTCTCCCCCTTTTTCCTCCTCCCCTCCTCCTCCCTGACGCTGTCTGGCAGCGCAGCGAACATGGAAACAATCGGCGTGGCTGCCAGGCCTGGCAGGAGCACACAGCCCTGGCGCAGCCCAGCACAGCCTCTTCCAGACCCGTGTTCCTTGGAGCCGGGCCCCGCACGGCCGGGGCAGCCATGGGGCAGCTCCAGCACCGTCCCCTCACCCTTCAGCCGCCTGCAGGGGCCCAGCACCTTCTGCCCCTTCACCACTGCCGTCCTCAGTCCCTCCCTGAGGTCCCTGCTGGTGGCTGCAGCCTCGCTCAGCACACCCCATGCATTCCCCTGCACAAACATCCCTTTCCCCTCAGCATCTGTTGGTGCCCCGCATCGTGGCTGTGCAGTAAAGGTGTCCCAACACCCCGTGGCACAGAAAGGCAGAGCTGCCTGGAATTTCCTAGCTCACCAGCAGACCAGTCTGCTCCCACGGAGCTGGAGCAACTAGTGGAGAGGTTTCAGGCTGTCACAGTTTCTGAGTTAGGCCGTTTTCTGCCAAAACACTGGAGTTTCTGAAAGCTCCTGGCCAGCTTTGTTACAGCTCTCCTGCCAGAGCTGCTAGGGAATGCCTTCTACGCTCCAGCACCACTCCAGCATCCCAAAAGCTTGGTGTTCTGCTGCATGTGTCCTGTTTGAGCTACAAGCTGCAAGCACAGCAGCTCCATGCCCACATCCCAGCAGGCACTGGAACGCACCCTGGGACCTGCCACCTCCTTCCTCTGCTCCAGCTGGCACCCAAACTTCACCCTCTGCTTACAGCTCCCATCCCAATCTCCTCACCCTGCAAGGTCTGCATCCAGGATACCTCAGCCACGGGAGCAATAGAGGGGAGAGCAGCAGCTCTGGGGACTCGGCAAGAAGCTCACCTCTCCCCCAGCCCACCCCATCTAGGGTCAGTTGCAGCATTTTCAAGGGACTTGCTTCTCTCCACCAGTTTTCAACCAAGAATTGCCCTGCATAGTGTTCACTTGCTCTGGGGACTTGAAGTTTTAGCGCAGAACAAACACTCTTGTAAAGCAAACATCCTCCTCCAAATCTGGCCACAAACGTGACACATGCCAGAGACCAGCAGGACTCAGCTGCAAATCCTGGTGCTCAAATTAGCAAAAGGTTTTCAGTCCAAAGGCCAAAACCTCTGCTGAGAGCATCAGAACAAATGAGGGAAGGCACTGTCATCGGTTTTACCTGGGGGCAGCTCTGCCCAGCACAGCTTGCAGCCAGGAACGTCAGCTCCAACACAGTTGGTTTTAATCCTCCTGGGCTTCGGCCCAGATATGGAACAGGCAGGGGTGGCAGGAGGCCACATGTGCACTTCCAGGGCCTTCCCCCCTCCTCCTGAATCAGCAAATCCACATGCGACGTCCAAAAAACAGTTTGCACTACTCAGGAGAGTACAGAGCCAGAGCACCACAGTCTGGCAGCCCCTCCGTCTGTCTAGGCACCATTTTGCCAACAGCCCCAGGGACAAATCCCATTTTGGAGCATGCGATGGGGAGAACCCAATCAACGATGGTCCCCCCTGGGTCACGATGCCTGGTCCCTATGGAGAAAAGCAGTGAGCATCCCTGCTAGTGGTCCAGGCAGGAGTAAGCCCTCTGCTCACCGATGCCTTCCCATGGGTGGGTGAGGAGAGTCTGGCTGCTCCCAGGGGGTGTCCACGTCCAGCACCAGCACCCTCAGAGCTCATCGTGGGATGCAGAGCGAAGATACCCCCCACCATCCCGCAGGTCCCTCAGGCTCTTCTGTGAGCCCACCCAGCCTGTCTGTTTGGAGTCATCATCCCAGATGGTGGAGGTCTCCGTGTCGCTCAGCCAGTTGCTGTCCCCGGCGTAGTGAGTGGGATAAACCAGGAGTGGGTGAGCCGAGAACACCTGCAGGTCCCGTGGGGCAAAGTGTCGCTTGTAGTCCTCGCTGGGGAAAGCAGGAGGAGAAGGACACATAAGGAGCGATGGAGAACACAGCAATGGAGTGCGTGCACGGGGGATGGCACTGTTTTGAGAGTGACATTGGCACCAGAGATGCTGTGTGCTCAGAGTGCCCCCCCCTTCCAACCCTTCATTTTACCATCCTGCTCTCCCCTTTGCCCACGTCCTCTCTTCCAGCGCTTGCCCACCTCCAGCTGCCTCCCCTCCAGGACCCCCCACCCGGTGAGGTGCCCCCAGTGAGGCTGAGCCCTCCACAAGGCCAGCCCCACACCCCAGCTCCATCCCTGCCGCCCCGTGCTGGCAGAGGGCCATTTTCCAGCAGCCGGCGGCCAGGCGGGGCTGGGGGGGAATGAGCTCATGCTGCAGATGTTTTCTTCCAGCCAGGGCGGAGGGGAGAGACAGGGTGGGATGGTGGCAATGGAGAAGAACCACATGTTCCCACAGCAGCGCAGCCCTGCTCCTTACTTGGGGTGTTTGTCGTACATGATGGGCAGGAACTCATCCACAGGCAGCATTTTGGAGAGGGGCTCAGCAGCCAGCAGCTTCTGCGCGCCACGGAGGGAGATGGCATACGCCAGGGTCCAGTAGGAATATCCAGCTACCACCAGGTTCCGGACACCCTCCACAGGAACCTCATCCTCTGCATTCACTTGCTTCCTCCCCAGGTAGCTGCAGGGCGAGTGGTCAGAGCCGGCCCAGCGCTCACCCTGCACCCCTCGTCCCCAGCACCTACACGAGGTCCCAGTCGTGCCGTGCCCCCTCCAGTTCCTCCATCAGCCGCTGCAGCCGGGCTGGGAAGGACACCTCAAAGCGCACGTCATCCTCAAAGACCAGCACCCGCTGCAGCCCCTGGGACACGATCTGTGGGGAGGACACAGAGCTGCTGACCTACACTGGGCCATATTGTGTTATACTGTGCCATACTGGGGCCACTCACCCTGAAGGAGAGACCCCCTCCCCAGGTTCTCCAGACAGATGTTGTACAGAGGGTCCCTACCCATGCTGGTGCCCCTCAGCCCCATACCTCCTTCCAGATGTTGTAATGGCTCAGGAAGCATCCAACCTCCCCCTTGGTGAGCGTGCGGCCAGAGAAGGGGTCATAGTACCCCGGCAGCAGGTCCACTCCCAGCACCTTGATGTCACTGCTGTTCAGGGTGCTGCAAGGTGAAAGGGTGGGTCAGCACGGTGTCCCCAGCACCCAGCTCCCGCCCAGGGTGACACTACGCTGTCACCTCCCATCCACTGCATCCACCACCCGTGCAGCGATCTCCAGCTCCTGCAGGGACTCCAGCATCCGCCGGCGCCGGTCCGGCCGCCTCACCAGATTGATGAGGAAGATCTGGGGAGGAAGAGAAGAGTCTCACTGGGGCAGCGGAGGGAGGGCACATCACTGCAGTGTGAGACAGGGGACACGGGGTTGGCTGAACACCAGGGTAGGAGGTGTGAAGGGGAGGCATGGGGGGCATTTACCTCATCAAAGCCCAATTTAGTGAGTGGTTTGGGTGGGACGGAGATGTGCCTGGAGCGCTGCATGGGGGGACCATCCACTGCAGAGAGATGGAAAATCCCTTCCATGGAGCCTCCAGCCCTCTGTCACTGCCAGGAACAGCACGGGGACCCCCTGGAGCTCACCCATGGCCTCCAGTGTGAGATGCACAAAGTTGACACGCTCATCCTCCAGAGTCTGGTGAGCCTTCACAGGGACGTTGATGTAGCCAAAGCGCTGCTGGTTGCACACGTGGACCTCAGCACCTGCAGGGCGAGGGGGTGAGCACCACAGAGGCTGACCCCAGCCCTCCCCAGACCGCTGATCCTCACCGGCCTCCTGGCAGGAGTAGGCAAAGACAATGATGTCGTCGAAAGCCCAGGTGTAGTTGGGATGGGGTGGGTAGAAGGCCAGCTGTGCTGTCTCCTCCTTCCGCAGGTCGATCAGGAAGGTGGCGTACACCATGGGCACGGCGAAGCAGCCCCGGCGCTGCCGGTTCTTGGTGGGGAAATAGTCAGCCGTGCGGCGATAGAAGCCCTGTAACACAGCGGTGTGACAGTGCCAGTGCCCAGGACACAGTGCTGGGCAGCCCCCCGGGGCTTCTGGGCCGTACCTGGGGCGTTATCCCGCACCAGAAGTTGGAGTAGAAGGTCTGCGAGTCCAACATCGGGGCCACCACCGACTTGTTCTGCGCCATGAGGAAGGTGAGGGTCTGGTTGTTGGTCAGGATGCTGTCTGTGTCCACAAACTGCAGGGACAGAGCTGGTGCTGGAGGCGTGGGGACACCCACACCCCATGTATCCCATGTACCACGACACCCGCCTGCTGCCTTGTCCCTACCAGGATGTAATCTGCCCGCAGCCCCCGGGCGTAGCTCAGAGCCTCCTGCTTCAGCCTCATCAGGTTTTCATAGCGTTTGTCGCTCCAGTGCTTGGGGCCGAGCTCATCAGGATAAGCACTGTGCAGTGGGGGGAAGGCAGAGGGTTAACAGTGCGGGCTGGGAACGCACAAACTCAGTGCACACACTGCATGCCGTCTGCCTGAGTCAGCGCCGAGCTGAGCTGGCAGCAGCACGCATGCAAAAAGCCCTGCAAAAACCCCGTGTGCACGCAGGGGAGAGGTGCAAGGAGAGGAGCGCAACACGGGGTTGTCCCCCCCCGGGCTGCACCTGGGCTCCTCTTCTGCCTTCCATGCCACCGAGTGGTAATTGCTGCCCACTGCCTGCAGCCATTCCTGCAGCATCGCCGTCGTGTTGTCCGAGTTGTGGTCCGTCGCACACCTGGGGGGGGGAAGGGGGG